TGGGTGAAATTGGAGTTGAGCAAATGGCTCTTTTAGTGAGTGGGAGAGTTGAATGAGGGCAGCAGGTTGACTTCATAGAATCAAGGACACTAGAACTGGAAGGGACCTCAAGAAGTCATCAAGTCCAGTAACTTGCCTTCACAGAGAGGGGGGAAGAAGGGAGAAGTTGGTTATAGTGCTGTTCAAGAAAAAGCAAAAAATGTCAAGGGGGAACAAAAAGGGTTGGAAGCAACAGGTAGGAACAGAGAAGTCCAACACCACCTTCATTGTGTGACCCAGGCTGGAGAGGGGAAACAGCTGACAAGCTTTAATCTGGGGAGATTTCCTAACAGAGTAGGCTCTTATTCTGAGACATATTCTGTCAAGAGAAGCTGAGAAGGTACTTAAGATTTTTAAAATTAGTCTAAACAAAATGTTATCTGGACACATGCAAATGGCTCTTAACAGTAATGTCTTAAGTTTTTAATATTGGGACAGTTGAGGTTAATTTTTTAACCTGATTAGTTAAATCGGCCTACTTCAGCTGGATAGTGAGGGTATTTGTGTCAACAGGAAATAATCAGAGAAAAATAGATTGGAAACCACATCCCTCCACTCTAGCAGAGACTGTATAATTTCAGTACAATGTATGTGTAAGTGGTCTCCAAACTTTTTACACCCAAGATCACTTTTTAAATGTCAGGGCAAGCCAAGATCTACCCCATCCCTTCCCCGAGACCACACTCCTTTGAGGCCCTGCCCTTTCCAAACCTTTCCGCAGACTACCTGATGCGAATGGAAACTCACTGTCAATTACATAATTACGCTCCAGCCATTTTGCGAGAGCTACAGCTGGGGAGAACGTTTTAATTTAAATTATTAAACAGATTAAGCGTTTTAACTTTCTCATGTTAGTTTATCAAACTTAATTTTAAATAAAGTAAAACATTATGTCCAACACAAAAGGTTTTAATGTTTTCTTTATTTCTGGCAGAGGTGGGGAACCATTTTGGGTTGGGGGCCACTGACCCACAGAAGAATCAGTTGGGGACCACACAAGTGATGTGGCCCCCAACTGAGCTACCTCACACTCTTTTGGCAGTCCAGCCCCTGAAGGGTGAGGGAGAAGGGGCAGGGAAGACTGAGGTTCAGGGCTTCCCATAGGAAGATTTACTTTACCCCAAATTTAATCTCCTGCCCCCACATCCCTGTGCTGCCAGGCACTCACCTCCAGACAGCAGCACTGGGACTCGCAGCCACCAGGGAGCAGTGCTGGGGTGAGGAGGGGGAGGGAGCAGCATCTCTTCCTTGCCCCTCCCAGCCCTTTGCCTGCATGCTCCAGTGCTAGGGCTGGGACCAGCAGAGCCAGAGGCCACCCAGGACTGGCTTCAGCTGGGCCAGGTGCAGCAGAGTGCTGGGGAAGGTGGCTCTCTGACCCCTCTCACAGCAGAGAACAGCCTGTCCTCCACTGCAGCACATGTGCTATCCTCCCAGCCCCTTCCCAGAGCAGGAGGAAAGAGCGGGGACGTGAGTGTGCGTGCCTCTTACTCCATCCCAGCCAGCAAGTTAACAAAGAGGGGCAGCCACCCCTCTTTGATCCAGCCCAACTGGAGCGCGGCTCCAGCCTCGGCAGGCTGAACGCCAAGCTGGGCTGGAGCAAACAGGGGCAGCCACTTGGGCTGAAAGCCCACTGAGGCTGTACCGCCCTCCAGTGGGGCTAGATCAAAGATGGGCAGCCATCCAGCCAGCTGTCCACAACGATCGACCCCTACAGGTGCTGTGATCGACTGATTGGTGATAACTGGTGGAAGTGATGATGCAGAAGTTTTAGCTTGCTTAGTAAATAATACAGTCTTCCTAAAAGCAGCATGTGTGTTTTGTTTCCGTGGTTATCTTTGGCATTCCAACAAAGTGTCTTCGCATGGATGATATCTCACTATGTAACAAGAGAACCTCATGCTTGCAGTTCTTGAAGGCTGTGAAAACTTCATTAAAATGTTGCAAGTACCTGGATTACTCTTCTTGCTGAACTAATGTATAAAAAATACTAAAATCAGATTGCTTTGTATAGTGAGTTTTCTTCATAGAAGATGGCAGAACTTGAAACCCGCGAAGGGGTATAGGCTCAATACTTAATCTATGAAGATTTTAAAATGTTTTTCCCTGGTATGAATTGGATAAAATTTATCAACCCTCTAAAACATGGACTCCAACGTGATGAAAATCCCAATTTCTCATCTTGGTGATCTACTTCTATTATGTTTAGTGTTTGTTTGTGTCACAGCCTCGAAATTACTCTTTCTGTCAAGTCTATTTATATGTAGGATTTTTGCTAGTTGACTCTTCTGACTCACAAAATAAAAGTGTTCAGTGCAGATCAATATACATCTGAGGAACTAAACCAAAGTTGCTTATGTGTGTGGTGAAGTCCCTTTTAGGGGAAAGGGTGTTTAAAAAAAAAAAAAACCCTCCACGTCAGTTTAAGCATTTTCAAATCTTCTTGCTTAGACACATTACAGTTTTTCTGAGAAGTGCAGTCCTTATTCAAAAGTACTTGCCAGCACTTAAAGTAATTCTATATAAAACTAGCCAATTAGCCTGTCATAAGACAGGATTTTCAGGTCTCTCCTCCATGTCAGTCTTCTCTTCTGAGCCTCCGGTCTCTTGTTCTGTCTGTCTCTCCTCCTCCTCCTCTCTCTCTCTCTCTCTCTCTCTCTCCACTGCCGCCTGTTCCTGTTTAAATAGCTCAGCCCCAGGTGGGGGTGGGACTTCTTTGATTACTCCCAGGTTGACTTGTTTGTAGGCTCTAGCTAGCCTGTTCCTTAAAGGGGCAGCACATGCCTTCACAGATCCTTTGTTCTCTAGTTGCCATACCACTTCTGAGCTGCTTCCCTGGACTGTCACAGCCTGTGCAAGGTTAGGCTGTTTCCTCCATACTTCCCACCTCCACTCCACTAAGGGGCTGGGTGGTGCTCACGGAGGGAGAAGGATAAAAGATTTGACAATGTGGCAGCCAGATATCTTGAGAAATGCTGGGAAAGCCAGTGTATTGTAACCCACTGGGCACCATTAGCTAGTGTCTCCTCTCACTTATTACTCCAGCATTGTTTCATGCAGCCGCCAGCACAAATGAGGTCAGGCTCTGGCTCTTTGAATTTGCCACCGTTAAACGATGGATCCACAGAGAGCCGCAGCACCAAGGGAGGAGATCTCAGGAGAGCAAATTACAGGGGAAGCAAGACAGCTCAGTAAATAGTCATAGAAGGCAGGTGGTAACAGAGAGAACTGTGTGTATGCCAATGGATTTGAAGTTTATTTGAATACAGGTATCTATGGGTGTGTCTAGACTGGACTTTTGTTGACAAAACTCTGTACAAAACTATACCTGCGTCTACACTACCGCTGAGTTCTTTCGACATAACGTCGACAGAACTCAGCAGTTTTGTTGACGCTGGTAAACCTCATTTTACGAGAGTTTCTGTCGACAGAATCATAGAATAATAGGACTGGAAGGGACCTCAAAAGGTCATCGAGTCCAGCCCCCCGCCCTCAAGGCAGGACCAAGCTCCGTCTACACCATCCCTGACAGATGTCTATCTAACCTGTTCTTAAATATCTCCAGAGAGGGAGATTCCACCACCTCCCTTGGCAATTTATTCCAATATTTGACCACTCTGACAGTTAGGAATTTTTTCCTAATGTCCAATCTAAACCTCCCCTGCTGCACTTTAAGCCCATTACTCCTTGTCCTGTCCTCAGAAACCAAGAGGAACAAATTTTCTCCTTCCTCCTTGTGACACTCTTTTAGATATTTGAAAACCGCTATCATGTCCCCCCTTAATCTTCTTTTTTCCAAACTAAACAAGCCCAGTTCATGAAGCCTGGCTTCATGATGGTGATGAGATGGTGATGAGAAGGTGCCGGGGGAGGATTGGCCTGTGACAGCGCAGCCCCTTTCTGCCCTACGTTTTCCCAGCTGTCGTGCGGTGCTAAGTGGCAGTGCTGAGCACCCTGGGCGTTCGGCCTGACCTTCCTGTGGGGAGAAGGTGTTATTGCATCTAGGGTTGTGTCTAGACTACAGGGTTTTGTCGACAAAGCAACTTGCTTTGTTGACAGAACTGAATGTAGTCTAGACGCTCTTTGTCGACAAAACTTCTGTCTACAAAAGCCTGTAGTCTAGACGTACCCTTAGTTAGCTCCAAAATTTTGAGTTTGGCTAAGCGTAGAAATTTGTTTCAACATGTGGGGGTTCTTTCCTCCCTCTCTTCCCTGTTACTGTGATCCTTTGTCCGCAAGTAATCCCTTCTTTAAGAGCCCCTAGCATTTGTCTGCGGGAAGCTGGAGGAAAAGCCTGGGCCTTCTATCTTCTCTTCCCCTGACTGAAGAGAGGAAAACAGGGCTGTTTCCCATGCTCAGTGATGTGAGCAAGGAGGGCCTGTTGGCATGCTCTTCTTAGTGAATGTGAATGAGTGACTTCTGTCTTACTCTTTTGGGGACGCTCAGAGTTACACTTCTCTAGAGGAGTGGGGAATGTACCAACTTCCCTGTTTTCTCCAGTCAAGTCTTTGTTGGTGAGGCACAAAGCTGAGGAAAAAACCACATAAAACATGCATTGAATCAGCATAAGAGAGGCATGAAATTTGTATGATTATTTGAAATATGGGGTGTTCCACTAAACCCAGCCTGGATTCACTTAACGCTTGTTAATTGGTTACCATTCTCCCAGCTCTTCCCCACGTCCAGGTATATCCTTCTATATCTGTTGATGCTTTTGTTGTGCACTTGGTTTCTTCCATCTGCTGCAGCTATGCCCTCTCACACCCTCTTCCTTTTGAAGATAAAATGTGCATACACATGGATCGGAAAGCTCTAAAAATTGTTTCACATGGTAAAACAAAGTGCTAGAACAAAGTACATAATCACCAGCACTTTGGTTACATACAGTTTCTAGCCACCAGATAAATAAGCACTGCTATTCCTGTGCACGTGAAGTAACTTTATTTTATTTCTCTATTGAACAGATCGCCCCTAATGATGAAGCTGTGGTAACATTGCTTTGTGAATGGGCTGTGAGTTGTAAAAGATCTGGCAAACACAGAGCGATGGCTGTGGCAAAACTCTTGGAGAAGAGGCAAGCAGAAATTGAGGCAGAAGTAAGTTGTTCTTCCTAGTGTTAGGATATGTTGGCAATGCACTTAAAATGTTAAGGAGAAATTAGCTTGATTCAACATACAGGTTTTTAAAACTGTTGGCTCAGACTTAGCGAATTGAATGTCATGTCACCAATTTATGGTTCTTGAATTGTGCTTTCTCTTTGAATGACGATGAAGCTTCTAATAAAAATAAACCTTAAATCTTCAGTTAGTTTCATTACTGTTTATTTTTCCTTTTGTGATTTACTTTAGTGTTTTAGGCGTTTATATGTGGTATTGCATGTGCCATCTATTGTCCCTTGAAGAAATTAGCATCAAACTGTGTGGACTGGTATACAATTCTACATACTAAAGATTGTTTTCTGATGACCTACAAAATCTGGGAAACTCTAAAAATCAACTGGGCACATCAGAACTATAATAACATGTCTTAAACTGAGTTGTATGTTTTCCACTGAATCTATGAGAAGAATGAAAATGTTTCACATAGAGAGCTGTATGTTTTCCACTGAAAATATGAGAAGAATGAAAATGTTTCACATAGGCACATGACTGTGTGCTTGTGCTTGGCTGGTGTAACAAGTGTGTCTTTATTGCAACAAATGAATATAAGCTAATTTACACCAGTTGCTGTTGGGCTCATAATGGTCTTTAGGCCCATTGCAACTTCTTTTCTTTATAAAACCAAACCATTTCCACATTGCGAATCAAATGGAGATGCTATTAGTACTTTAGTTATTTACTAGTCTAAAAACTGAGTTCCTCAGATCCTGAGGTGTGGTAGCCCATTGGTAAATGTTGACTTCTTAATGCAGATAGGGTTGCCAGATGGTTTCAACAAAAATACCAGACACAGTTGACATTACATCACAATCTACATTACATCTTATTTAGAAAATACCGGACAGTTATATTTTTTTTGTTTATATTTTCTTAATTTGTTTCCCAAACAGAAAGCTCAAATACAGGACTGTCTGGTTCAAAACCAGACACCTGGCAACCCTAAATGCAGATTACTGTCAGCTGTGTTTTAGGCTCTGTCTAATAGACTGTTTCAGTAGATGGCCTTACTAACAAAACATAGCTTATGTTTTGATTTAAGATACAACAATCTTTTTAATGCAGCCAGAGTACTGTTTTAGAAGTGCCTCTTCCACCGGAACTGGCTGCAGCAACATAGACACAAACACTTTTTTACTTTCACTCTTCATCTGTCCCATGTTCCTTCAAACCACCACCACCAACACAAGTAGTGGGGGAAGGGAGATGCCTTTACACCAGTAATGGGTAATGTATGCAAAGGAAGAAAAATAACTTCCTTTGCTAAAGCTGTAATTATAGCCTATGTAATCAATCCAGAAATTTAAGTTTGTTTGAAATTTTGCTAAAATATTCTAACTCTTAAGACTTTTTTAAAAGTGGTGATTCTGTACAATTCTATATAATTATTATATAACTTTTAAACAAGCACGTTAGAAATACCCAAGGTAGACAAAGGTGGGAAAATGCTCTATTTTGGTAATGCTTCTGTGGCATTGCTGGGATTTGGATGGATATTGCATTAGAGGGGGGGGTAGGGGAGAGGAGGGGGAAAGAAACATTGTCACATTTAGAGTTACATGATAGGCTAATTGGTATTTTTTCCCCACTATGTAGAGATGTGGTGAGTCAGAAGTGCTAGATGAAAAAGAATCCATTTCTTCAGCTTCTCTCACTGGATCCAGCCTTCCTGTTTTTCAGAATGTCCTACTTAGGTTTTTAGATACACAGGCTCCATCTTTATGTAAGTATTAATTCATATCTGTTCCAAGGAAAAGAACAATTGGCCTTGTGTCCACCTGTTGAAGTTATCCTGCATTGTTAGAATATGTGCTTCTTATTTGTAGTTTCTATTATCCCCTCCACAAATTTTCGTGTGATCATAATTTTCCGAAATATTTCATTTTTGTACTGAAGATTTCCATTGCGTTCTGTGCTTGAAGGTGGATTTTTGGAAAACTTGAGGGAACTTCTTTTATCCTTGTTTGGACTGAAGCATGAGGAAGGGGAAAAGTATTCTTTCCGTGCATAATACATAAAATAAACTAATAAGACTGTCCTTCTTTGATTTCACGAGGAATTCAAAACAGCTTACTTTTATTTTGTGCATAATACATAAAATAAAGTAATAAGACTGTTCTCCTTTGATTTCATGAGGAATTCAAAACAGCTTACTTTTATTTGGTATATAATCAATACTCAGTGATTAACTTGAAAAGGAAACTGGTCAGATTATAAGCAAGTGGGAAAATCACTAGTTAAATGAGTGAGCTAAGTAGCCATCAGATATTTCTTCTTCTAACGAAATTCTTTTATGACTTTTAATAAAACATTTTCTCCTGACTCAGAAGCCTGACAAGCACTGGGCTGCAGACACTTTTTGCACGGAGGAGATTTAGAAATGCACATTACAAAATCTGTCTTTAGGTGCTTTTGGTCCTGCTTTGGTAAGAACTGCCCACGGTTTTAATCAACACTCGTGTTTACACTCTCTGGGAGGGCTGGCCTTACCATGAGGTGAACTGAGGCAGCTGCCTCAGGTGCCAGACTGGGGGGGGTGACACTAGGACCCAGAGAATTGAGACCTTGCAAACTCAGTTTTTAGAGTAGCAAGCGGGAATGGGGGCATCATTTGAGCTCCCCACCTCAGGTGCCAAAATGTTGTGGGATGGCCCTGCTCTCTGGGACTGAGATCTATTTTAAATATTACATTGGATTGCTGTGACTAGGAACTGCTGTTCTGGGCTCATAGTAATGGACACTGAAGCCATATGCGGATGAATGGGCAAACTGTCCCCAGTTCCTTGTCTATCTCCTTGCTCTGAGTCAGAGGATTTGCTTGCCCACCTTGAGTGTGCCTTGGCTTTTTGTATTCTTTTTATAGTTGTTTCTTAAGATCAGTGGCGGCCCGTCCGCAGAGGCGAACTAGTCTGTTGCCTACGGCGCCAAAGTTAAACAGCATTGAGGGGTTTGGAGGCGGGGGCGCCGATCGCGCATTTTGCCTAGAGCACCAGTTGCTGGCAGCTTGACTACGGCTGCTCCTGCTTAAGATTAGTTAGTTGTTAGTAGCAAAATGCAGGACAATGTAGCACTTTGTTAGTAGTAGTGTTAGTTAGTAGTCAGAGGATTTTTCCCCCTCCTCTCTTATTGGAAAGACACTGTTCATCTCAGTCTGCTACTGTCAAGGTCAGTCTTGCTTTTTTACAGTCTTATTAACAAGCCAACACCTGTCAGTCTCCATTTGCATCTACATTACTACACTCCCCATCAGTGGTACCATCATGCACCAGTAGCTTTGGCTACTGCGTCTTTGGCTACTGTGTCAGTACCCTACTCAGTAAAGCCAAGAGTTTAGATACACAAGGGACCTGTCCATAATGGATGAACTGGAATCCCACCTTTCATGGGTAAGGAGCATCTTTGTATACCAACACCTTGATTGCTACTGTACCCTAGTAATGCAGGACTTTCCATTCATTTCTCTGGGAGCTTCTATGTTGGATGATGATGAGGAAGACCGAGACTTCCAGTTGGTCTTTTATTTCAATCCAGGGCTACCTGCAAATCCTGTGAGAAGCCCATTCTCTGACAGTTATAGGGAAGATCAAAATTATCATAAAGGTTGGTGGAACCTGCCCTGCATGCCACCTACACTGCCATATGGGCTCCCCATTGGTAGTACAGAGATCTCTGGGCTGCTCACCAACAGCAATTCTTCAGACCACCACCTCAAAGGGAGACAGAGTTGTTGAATCCTCTCCTTCCCAGCCAGTTCACCCACAGGAGGAAATGTGAGGAAACAGAGGTTAGAGTGAATAAAGAGGCTTCCCCTCAAGCAGCCATTTAATCTTCATCTCCAGAAGAAGTAGCTCTACCACCTTCCATGGCTGACAATTTTTGGTAATTTCAAGACCTGATAAAGTGGCTAGTTGACACTCTTTAGATTCCACTTGGAGTGTTCAGGGATTCACAGCACAAGGTGTTGGATACTCTGTGGTCAGCAACACAGATGAGCGTTACCCATGCCTCTGGATTCATCTAAGATTGTGAGACAAACTCCTGCTACAATTTCTCTAAAATTTGAAAAGGTAGATTAAGTATTGTGTTCCTTCTAAGGACTCTGATTTCCTCCTCTTCCATCCTCTTGCTAGCTTCCAAGTCATGGATGTACAGCAGTTCTGTTCCATTTGACAAGGACCAAAACAGACTGGATCTATTTGGATCTGTTCATCTGCAAACCTGCAGTTCAGGATCACAAACTTGTAAGTGGTTGTGGCCAAATATAGTTTCACAAATGATTGTAGTAGATCAGCACAGGGATGTAGTAAATTCAGGAGTCACTGGTGTGGCGTTCTGACATGTCCCCTTCTCCGTCAATGATGATACAGCCGAATGTTTATGTGTTTCTGTATTTCATGCTAGGTCTGCATAGATAGCTAGCATAATAGACTTTAAGAAAGCCCCCAAAGACCACAGATTCAGATAAAATATGAAGGCACCCGAGTCAGGTTTATTGTCAAACTTAGTACATTAATAGTTGTCGGTAGCCAAATAGACCTCGAGCATCTGTGCATTTTGTACCCATGACAATGGACATGTCTCAGTCAATAGTATGGATTCACTATTGCCATCTGAGCTGGACAAAGAGTTAACTCAAGGTATCCCAACATGTATAGATGGAGATAAACAATCTATGATAACACACCTTACATATCATCTTAACCATTAATGATACGTTTGGTACCTCCTCTTGTACTTTCCTCCAAAGCATTCCTGTTTACCACCTGTTGTTATGCTTTCACTCCTGTTGTTTCAAACTATTTTATCATGTACTAAGTTGGGGTGTCCTTGTACTGTCCTGATGGAATATATTTACATATTTACATATATTCCCATATATATGGGAAGCGACAGTCTAGGAAGGAGCATGGCGGAAAGGGATCTAGGGGTCATAGTGGACCACAAGTTGAATATGAGTCAACAGTGTGATGCTGTTGCAAAAAAAGCAAATATGATTCTAGGTTGTATCAACAGGTGTGTTGTAAGCAAAACTCGTGAAGTCATTCTGCCGCTCTACTCTGCACTAGTTAGGCCTCAGCTGGAGTACTGTGTCCAGTTCTGGACGCCACATTAACATTCGGCTGTATGTGTTTCCGTATTTCATGTTAGGTCTGCATAGATAGCTAGCATAATAGCAGCCGAATGTTTATGTGTTTCTGTATTTCATGCTAGGTCTGCATAGATAGCTAGCATAATAGACTTTAAGAAAGCCCAAAGACCACAGATTCAGATGAAATATGAAGGCACCCGAGTCAGGTTTATTGTCAAACTTAGTACATTAATAGTTGTCGGTAGCCAAATAGACCTCGAGCATCTGTGCATTTTGTACCCATGACAATGGACATGTCTCAGTCAATAGTATGGATTCACTATTGCCATCTGAGCTGGACAAAGAGTTAACTCAAGGTATCCCAACATGTATAGATGGAGATAAACAATCTATGATAACACACCTTACATATCATCTTAACCATTAATGATACGTTTGGTACCTCCTCTTGTACTTTCCTCCAAAGCATTCCTGTTTACCACCTGTTGTTATGCTTTCACTCCTGTTGTTTCAAACTATTTTATCATGTACTAAGTTGGGGTGTCCTTGTACTGTCCTGATGGAATATATTTACATATTTCATGTGCTTTTAGCAGTGCTAGCAGTTCTAGGGCTGAGACACATGGACTTGCATGCAAATATCTGCTTTTGAAAAGGCCTGTCTATTACTTCTAGTACAGTATAACTCTTGCTTACTTTGGTTCAGATGTTATGCTTAAAAGAAGCACACGGGATCTTTTTCAGGGGGATAAGGCAAGATACCATATTTATTGATAATGTAACAATGTAGCATATGCATTTACACACACACACACACACACTCTCTCTCTCTCTCTCTCTCTCTCTCTCTCTCTCTTTCTCTTTCTCTTTCTCTTTCTCTTTCTCTTTCTCTTTCTCTTTCTCTTTCTCTTTCTCTCTCGCCATTGCAGCCAACGGACCCATGAGGAGACACGGGACCGGGCTGATGCTCCACGCCATAGAAGGAGGAAACCTGAAGACCAATACAAGACACAGTCCTCTAATATCAGTATGCTGACAACCCCTCCTCAGTGTTATCAGTTCCCTATCAGGGAGTGCCTGCCACTAACTTTAGGGTTCGTCATTCTACCCCTGTCCAGTCTTTGTCATCAAAGTGCTTAGCCTGATTGATAACTGTTTGGTGCCTTTGAGTTTTGGCTGATCATCTGGGCATGCAGTGGCCTTCATACCTATCACTCTTAAAACATTCTCTCTCCCATTCACACAAACAACACATTTACAGATTTGCAGCAAAGAAAAAGATTGCTTACAAGCCTCATTCCAAATACCTAGGTGTAACTTTTGACTGTACGCTCTCCTTCCAATGCCATCTGGAACAAAGGAGAAACTAAAGCCAAGGATCAACCTTCTGAGAAATCTGACTGTAACTAGTTGGGGAGTGAGAGCATGCACCTTGAGGACCTCAGCAATAGCCCTGGTATATTCTGTTGCTGAATATTGCTCTTCTGTGTGGCTAGAAAGTGGCCACACAAACCTAGTCATCACTCAACTGAATAACGCCATGCGAGTGATAACTGGAACTTTAAAGCCCACTGCCATAAAATGGTTACTACTGCTGGCAAACATCGCCCCACCAAGCATTCGTTGGTGGGAACAGGAATGCAGACTATACCAACGTATCAGCCGCAGCAGCCAACCTCTTCCCATCCAGAAATACTTTGATCAGCCACCAACATCGCATCTAAAATCATGTAAGCCTCCCTGGTCGCGAATGAAGGAAGTCATGGCCAATGTCAAGGAACTATGGCAAGCTGAATGGCAGTAAGTAGACGTCCTAAACAAACACATTATGTCAGATCCACCACTGAGTAGAAAATAACTAGACGTCCTAAACAAACACCTTATGTCAGATCCACCACTGAGTAGAAAAGCTTCGATCTTCTCCGGAGACTGTGGTGTGTCCTAAACTGGCTTAGGACTGGTCAGGGCAGATGCAGTTAACTACTGCATAAGTGAAATTTGTTGCCATCCCCACCTAGTGATTGTGGCAGTCCGTAAACTATGCATCACATTGTTGCAGAATGCCCAACACGAATATTTACTGTCTTATTGGAGGATATCCACAATCTAACCAGCGACGGTGTTCATGGTCTGGAGAGCTTGGATGTCCAACTTTGATGAAGAAATATAGCATTGAACATAACATTTGAAAGAAGCATAGAACAAAGGGTACTTCTAGCCACTTCTCTTAAACGCCTTTCTTTCTATTACAAGGCTTTATCTAATACTGATATCACTATGCATTGCAATGTTCCATCCCTTCACTTTAACTTCAGAACATGATCACATCCAGCAGAGCTGGAGCTAAGTTAGCAAAGCTGCCGTATGCTTGTCTGAGGCCTACATCTTGTGTTTAAGTTTTTAAAATATAATCAAAACCTTATATTATAATATAATTCATTATAATTAACTTAGTACCTAGAAGGCTACACAGGCACCAGGTCCATACTTCAGGCTCTTTCTTTGTCCTACATTCCCCCACTTTTTGTCTTTTTATGGGGAGGATGTTTACCCATAATCCCAGAGAAACATAATGCATGGACTGAAGGTGACCCAGTGGGCTAAACACTGTTGTGTGGTCACCTTATTTATTGTTCTCACATTCACGCCCCATCTGTCCCTTGTATGACTGTTGGACAGATTTTATTTGCCAATTGTTAAGTCCCTTCTGTTGGCCTGGGAATGTTAGGTCTGGGACTAATATTAGGTCTGGTTGAGGAATATAGTTTTATGACTGAACCTTGGAGCACTGCCAGATAGGAAATATATATGGATAATGTGGATAAGGTGTGTATATTTGTAATGAATGTGAATATATAAGTATGGGTGCCTATGACACCATCTTATACCCAAACATAATCATATTTATAATATGATGTGGTTGTCTGGCTCTTATAAATGTAGTGCCACAGTGTGACGGTCTTGCCACTCCCCTTCCTATCCGGGAGAAAGGGGGAGGGGAGGGCAGGCGTCCGCTACGTCTATCTCTATCCGAGTCGTCCCCGCCTTGGGGCGCCCGGTGCCCCGTCAGTGAGGTCCTCCAGTCGTTCGGCGGCGAGTGCTCCTCCTCCAGCACGTTCTCCCAAGCGGAGGAGGAAAAGGGGGGCCCGGGCCCGCCCTCACTCACAGGCCCCAGCAAAGGGCCCTAAGGACTCAGATCCTCCGCGATCCGGTCCGGCTGACGGGGCGTAGAGCCAAAATGCGTCAGCCCACCACCCCCTCCTGGTTGTGCCCTGGGCGGCTTCCTCTCCCCCATCCACTCCTGCCCCTTTTCCAGACGGGGCAAGGAACTTGGGAGTCCTCCTCCACTCCCCG